TATAAATAAATATTTTATGTACGATATACAGTAATTAATAATACATATAAAATATGCAAATGATTTATGTATATGATAAATCATTTAAAATAATAAATACAAAATTCTAATTATATAAAAATAAATACATTTAGATGTTCATTTATTTATATGTATAAAATACACAAAATAAATACTAAATAATTATATAAAAAAATAATATATCATATATAATTCATATAATACATATAAAATAAATAAACATAATTAAGAAAATAAACATAAATTATATAATGCACATAGGAAATTATTAAATAAATACAAATATATAAAAGCAATTCATATGTTCATTTATTAATAAGTATAAAATACACAAAATAAAAAATACACAAAATAATGAAATATATAAACAAACATTATGTATGATATATAATTAATATATACATATAAAATAAAAAAATAATAAACGTAAAAAATAAAGAAAATAAATATATGATATAAATGCATATAGGCAAAGATTAATTAGAGAAGCATTTATAAATCATTATATTGAATGATACCATATCTCCATCTCATGCTACCGCTGTACCATGGTGTCTACTACAGTGTCCACTACCCTTGCTAGGCATAATATATGTGTATGCATTAATAAATGACTGCATGTGTCCACAGGTGTCTTCTACAAACAGCGTCCCTGATCCCAGCCTCTTCCCGTCCAGAACTGCAGTGGTGTCGGCCTGCTGGAGCCTCACGCCCTCGCTGGGGGGATGCAAACTCTTCAGCACAACCATCCTGATGAACTGCAATCACCGTGAAGCTGCTGAAGCCGCTAACACTGACGCTCTACTGAGACGATACGCGAATAAAGCGCTGCAGCGGCAACAGTAACTCTCATTCAACGCGGCCGGGTTGCGTGGCGAGAAACTTTCAAAATGGATTTTATAGTTCACAGACTCGCTGTCATGCGTCACTTCTGTAGTACTCACTCATTAGGCGACACCTGGCTTTTCCAGCGGGCGAAATCCCAGTTTATTACTGCAGGGGGCGCTAAGTGGCCCAAAAAGGCGGATTCTCCATTGAGCCGCATTCAAATCTCAATACGCTTTTTTGTCTTATTGAAGACGTTTGTGCAGTAATAAGTATCATTTTTTAAATATACTAATTACACAAATTAATAGATATTAAACATACGAATATTCAGCTGAGCAATATCTGTAAAAAGATCAAACAAAATATATTAGTTTGTAATCATAAACGACTGTGATTGGTCAACGGGACTAAAACGCGGAGAAAAGTAACATGCACCACGTGATGTCGCTGTGCATTTCCGCGCGTTTCCGCTTTAGCTGCGATATGGATAACAATTAGCGCTTTAAAAGCAGTACTAAGAAACGTTAGTAGGGATTGAAAGCTATTAATTATATTTACAGATCTTAACTGACTGATTACAGATGACATACGGCCGCTAAGCACCGCCCATTATAAGACCATGTTTAATCCATTCTACCCATCACTTCTTTTCCACGTGCGTTTCATTTCATATCAACTAAAGCGTAGCGCCTCTTCAGGATCGGAGGAGATGCGGCACAATTTTCTTTAAACAACCACTTTGCATTAAAAATATTTTATTCATCTTTTAAGATTTAAATAGATTATTTTAATGTTTGCATAAGGGTAGTTAACTAATAAACATGTTCTAATTATTGTATAATTATTATACATGTGGTTTTTATGACCACGCATTAATTCAGAGGTCACACAGAATGTTTGTATTTTCAATATAACCCACTGCGCTACCTTTGCATTTTTTTAAAACATCAAAAATGCACTCGTTCTCTTATGTTTATATGCATTTAAACCTAAAATATTGTTGAAATTATGCCACACATAAAAGTAAATGCTTCTGGTATCTTGAAAGCTTTACAGCTACTTACGACAAATTATGAGCCAAAGACATTAACAGCAACATATTTAGTTTATTTCCGTTTTGTGAATAATTTCCTTGAAACATGGAGACGCACGTCTGCAAAGTATGATTACAAATAAAACGAGAAGGAAAACACGAATTCCAGTAGTATACGGATCAAAAACACATTCTTTAACTGAAAGCAAAGACCATAATTATTCTAATGCTTGAGGTTTTTTTCTGAATATTGGATTTGTTTTGTAATGGGGTGGATTTGTGTTGGAATGAATTTATAGTGTTCTCATTCAAACAACCTTCCAGCATAAACAACACCAGCCTGGAGTAAATACTAAAAACACCTCTAAGGAAAGAGTGCTGTCGAACAGAACTTTTCAACAGTACGGTACCAAACAGCACCATCAAAGGTGCTTGAACGACAAGTGCATTCATTTGACATATTAAAACTCAGACAGGGACTTAAATGTGCCTGAACGTCTCATTAAAGTGTCCTAAAACCTCAGAAACAGCTTTCAAAAGAGCAGAAAATGTCCTAATAGGACAAATAAGGCAATCATATTCTTTTTAATACAACATACAATGTTATTTTAGGTTAAGAGAGTGTATTAGTCTTTTAAATTAAAATGATTTGCAGCTAAATTGCAGATCATTTTCAATTGTCCTCCAATGCGTTTCTTCCTGTATTTGCTGGTCTACTAACTAGTTTAAAGGAATAGCTGACCCTAAAATGAACATTTGCTGAAAATGTAGATGAACAGATTTGGAGAAATGTAGCATTGCATCACTTGCTCTGCAGTGAATGGGTGCCGTCAGAATGAGAGTCCAAACAGCTGATAAAAACATCACAATAATCCACACCACTCCAGTCCATCAGTTCACATCTGGAGAAGCTAAAAGATGTTTGTATGTAAGAAATAAATCCATCATTAAAGCATTTTAACTTTAAACTGTCACTTCTGGCCAAAATATGAGTCCATATTCCATAATAACTCTTCCTCCAGTGATAAAGTCCTTCTCCTGTCGTCTCTCACATCAAAATCCAGCCACATATTTGTTTAGAACTGTTCTGGCTTCTAAACGGTGCTTGATCTGTGCAGATTTCTCTCCTGATTCAGATGAGACTTTTTCCACTGGATAGAGGACTCAACGTGAAGTTAAAAACATCTTAATGTTTAATTTATTTCTTACAAACTCACAGCTTTTGTCTTCTCCAGATGTGAACTGATGGACTGGAGTGGTGTGGATTGCTTGTGGATTATTGTGATGTTTTTATCAGCTGTTTGGACTCTCATTCTGACGGCACCCATTCACTGCAGAGCATCCATTGCTGAGCAAGTCTGTTCAAATCCAAATCTGTTCCCATAAAGAATCAACCTCATCTACATTTTCAGCAAATTTTCATTTTTGGGTGAACTATTCCTTTAGGCAAGGTTCGGCATCACTCGTCAATCCCAAATTTCCTTCATGTACAACAAAGAAGAAAACATTAATACAGAGAATGTAAACCTCTACAACACCAGTCTGAAATGCACGTAACACGTAAGCTTCAAATGCACGCCGTCCAGTGTCTCTAGAGGACTACTGAAGCCGCTTTATACAAACGAAATCATACTGGCCGTAAATGACAAAGTGCTTTACTCTGAGGAATGGTGACTGTAGTATTAAGAAGCCCCTGTTCTAAACCGGTCGGGTGATGCATGCGGCTGGATGAACTAGAGTGCATTCAAACATCTGAATGGACACTACGGCATTCGTCTGGAAGCTTCATTTTTTGGTCCACTACACCCAAAAACCAGGAGACTACGGTGGCTGATGAGGGACATTCCCGTGAGAAGGCGATGAGAAAATAAACGTATTTAAGCTACTGAGCTGATCATGACAACTGTTCACTGTCGAAAACAAAGTTAACAAGGTCCGTGACTCCAGTGAACTCTTCCTCGTCCTCATCGTCGTCGTCCTCCTGAGCTGCGGCCCTCAGCGGGACCAAGCCGTTGTGCCTGATGGGACCTCGAGACCCCGCCGTGTGCTTCCACCGGACACTTCTTCGTGTGTTCTCCTCTTCCTCCTCTTCTTCGTCTGTTTCTATGCGGTTCGACCTCTTGCGGAGGGGCCGTTTGTCTTCCTCTGAGTCCTCTGTTTCTCCTCCACCTTCCTCTTCCTCCTCGTCTTCACTGGAGCTTCTCTGCTGTCTCTGTTTTTCTCGTTTGTGCCTGTGTTTGGAATCTTCCCTTGTTGAAGCGCACTTGCGTCCTTTTTCTGATCTCCGATGCGATTCCTTTGGCTCAAAGTCTTTTGAAAGTATGGACTCTGGAAATATAGGATGAGAAGAAAACAGCTGACATTTCCGGTTGTAATAACCAGTATAGCTAACAGTGAGCTAATATTTATATGTAGTGTGATGAGACAAAATGAAAAATCGCAAACGGAGAGTCCTTAGAGATGCATTGTTTCGTTTTAATCTTGTCTAGTTGTACAAAAAAAATTGTGCTGAAAATTGTGCTTTAAATAAATCATCATGCTGAACACTATGGATTTAAGCAAGAACAAAAATTAAAAGACACACCACTCCTTATATAGAAAAAACAATATATATTTAAGATTTAGTTTTTAATGAAATTAAAAAAAGAGCATTTTTTGGGGTACAATCTACAAATCAGCTGTGATTAATTAGTCTTTGATAATGTCTAAATATATATAAACCTAGTAAAAGTAATTATGTCTGAAAATACACTTATTAGCAATTAAAAGGCTCTGCCTTCCTATAAGTATTTAAATAAAAAAATAACTTGTATTTAAAATAAATATATTATGTATGTTAATATTATACATTTTTTAAAAATACATATTTTAAAAGTTAAACACTGTATTAATTTAAAATGATCTGAAATATTTTTGTAATATGTCTATTATTTTATTATCAAATTAATGTATGAAGCCTGCACATTAAACGAAACACGCAAAAGTGTGTTGTTTTTTTAATGTGCTGATTCTTTTGCCTGAGGAAGCTCGATTGACTGAAATGTTGATTATAAAAGTTCATAATGCAAGTTTGAGTGTGCAGGATTTCACATTTTTTTTTAGTTTATATTGGACTTTTATCTGTCATATCTTGGATGTGCATAATTTCGAGGTCTTGTAACATGAAATTGTTCAAAAATACAAATTCAAAGTCTTGTAATATGAAATTGTCAAAATATAAAATATAAAAGACTACTGAAACAAAATATATAGCAACATTCATTTAATTATGAATAATTTTATACTTATTGTCTTTGGCCAGTTTTGACCACGGCGGATCACAAGTGTGACCCCTCAGGGAGGAATACCAGAGAGTTGAGATACATATAAGTAAAATTTTGGGGGTTTTTTGCCTTAATTTAAATTGGACAGCAGGAGGACAGCTAGGAATCATGGGAGGAGAATTGGACTGGGAAAGGACCTCGAGTCGATATCGGAGCACTTGCCCACATGGCTATGGCTCAGATGGCATTAGCATAAATAAGCATTTGAAAACAGGAGTGTGGCAGTGCTCACCTTCACTGTTGGAGCTGGACAGCCGTCGACGGTGAGGAAGAGAGGAGTGCTTCTGATCGGACGCCTTTCGTGACCCTTCAGACTCTGACGTCTCACAGTAGTTGACCTGAGAGTTCTGACTCCGTCGCGGACGCCTTCTATTCACATCCACATCGCTGTCGCTGAACTCGTTAGAGCCTTCTGTTTCTGCCAGATCAAGACAAAAGTAAAAACCGTGAGTGAAGAATTCAATGGTGACACTAATAAGGCTCTGTGACCTACAGTACCTCCAAAAACAGAAGCAGCAAAATTATGCCGCCTTACTAAAGTAAAGACACCAGCTCACTAGCTTTGAAACAGATTCTATATGTTATTCTTTTAGGTAGAATGGATATGAAAACTCAAACGGACCCATTCCCTCTTCCTCCTCCTCCTCTTCTTCCTCAGAGTCTAACATGTCCTCTTCTTCTGAGGTCCCTCTTCGTCGGGAAGGAGGTTTGCGTCTGCTCCGCCTGGTTCCCAGAGTGTGAGCGCTTCTTCC